TAGTATGAGAGGAAAGGGAGTGTACTCACTGAAGCACTCCCAGAACCTCATACAAAATAATAACAATTGGTATTCCTGCCTTTTCAAAGTCATTGTCTGTCTGGCAACTGAATGAATGTAACTATGGCATTCCATGTGCATACAGAGTGTGTTAATTTAACCACGTTCAACCCCTACCGTGCTCTCATTCCCCTCTTCCCTCCTGCTGCTCCTCCTCTCCTTTTAATCTCACTTCTATTTTCATGTCTTTTTTTAATCTAGATTCTACTTAACTAGAAAATGTGATATTTGTCTCAGTCTGGCTTATTTTGCTTAACACAATATTCTCCAGTTCTGGCCTTTTTCTGGCAAATGACATAAATTCATTCTTTACAGTTACATAAAACTCCATAGCACGTATAGACCACATTTTCCATGTCCATTCAGCTGCTGACGGACGTGTGGCTGGTTCCATGCTTGGGTATTATGAACAGTGCACCAGAACTTGGGTGTGCAGTGTCTCTATTGAGTGGTAAAGCTAGATCCTGTGGAAACTCTATTTTGAGCTTTTTGAGGAACCTCTGTACTGATCTCTGTAGCAGCTGCACTGTCTTTACATTCTCAACCACAGTGTATCAGAGTTTCTTTTCCCAGCATCCTCTCTGGAGGTTGCTGTTTGGTTTCCTGTAGCTAGCCAGCCACTCTGAGCAAAGTGGGGTGGAATCTCTGGCTGTACTTTGCATTTCTCTGTTGCCTAAAGATGTTAAGCATTTTTTTCACTATTTGTCGGTCATGGGTACAACTACCTTTGAAAACTATTCAACAGCTGGTGTCTTTAGGAGCTTACGGGATCACATCCTAAACATCTCATGTAAAGGATAGGACCTAAAATTTATTTGATCTTCACACCTCTGAATCTGAAGTGGTACCAGGTGAGGAAACAGAGACCTGGGAATCAAGTGTCTTGATCAAGATCAGGCAGCCAATCAGGAGCCCTAATTTGTAGAGCGATATCAGGGGCTCATATTTGCTTCTTTTGTGGTGATTTTAATAAGCCACTTGTAAACACTCTAACCCACTTTGATTTATTTATTCTTTAGAACTACTTTTTGAACAATTGGATGAAGATTAAGTGTGAGAAACAGGAAACCCATATCTTAGACTATAAACCTAGTGGTTCAGATAGAGCCTGGATCTGGAGTTGAAGCAAACAGAGTTCTGCCTGCCTCTGCCGTTGCCAACTATGAAACTGAGCAAAGACTTATCCCTCCTTCCCAGTCCTACATGCATGCCTGTTAGAGTGAGAAAGGAGGTTTGTGTTTGGTGTGGGACCCAGAACGCAGTTAGCCCTGGGCAAAGGGAGACCATGATGATCACTCCATAGGCCTAGGTGCAAGTCTTCGCAGTGTGGCAGGAAAGAGGGATGAGAACAGAGAAGTGGATACCAGGTCCCTAAGGGAGTCAGCAGGAATTCTTAAGGAGGTGACACTTGGACAGGGTTTTTAAATTAACTTTTTTTTATTAGCACAAAGTAATGGATTTAATTACGGCATTTTCATAAATAGACATCATTTTATTTTCTTCCTATCCCCCATTACCCTTCTCTCTCTTCCACACCCATTCTGCTGGCCCCTTTCTTCCCTCTAAATGGTCTCCACTTCTCTTAAAGGGAAAATTGGTGTTTTCCAGGCAGAAAGATAGAGGAACTTTTCCAGCAAAAAGGAAGGTGCATTTCTAAGGCATTAGAGATGGAGTGGAAGACTAAGTAGAGGAAGCATCAGCATCCCCCAGGAGGTGTGATCACACCTCCACGTTGGTGATTGCCTGTTTTCTCCTTGTAAATTAAACTGTGTACCTAGGGAGGAGGGAGCAGAATGGAATGTTTTCAGAGCCTTAAAAAACACAGGTAGACCAGGTGGACCTTTGAACCCTCAGGACTTTCCGTTGTTCTTCGAGTCTTTGCCTGTCACACAGCTCATAATCATGTAGGCCCATCCACCTGTGTTGATGATTCACGACATCAGTGATCACAGCTGGACTCGGATTCTGCCAGCGGTGGGTTCACCCTCCATACCTGGTCAGCAGCCTTTACCCAGCCCCCGTGACCACAGCCTGACTTCCCTGGTGTTGTGAGTCTCCTCTGCTGGCTGCTGGGCCGCTGCTACTCTGCCACCTGCCTCTTTTAACCGTGACAGCCACAAAGTTAAAACCTGACCTAGGGGGATAGGCCCATTCATCAAACTTCTTTTTGTATGTGGGAAAGAAGTTGCTTTATACCTTTCATTTTCATTACAGGCTATTAAAATTCAGATGGTATCACACCTGTGACTGTAGCCAAGCATTGGTAGGTTCTGGGCCTGTGAGTACACCTGTCCATGTACTGACGGAACATGGTTGCCATTATCACACAATGCTCACACTGCCTCCAAGGCAGGCTTATGTTTCTTGGGGAAAACCATGGTCACATCCTCTCATCTTTCTGTTCCCAGGGAGGACATTGGGATGGGGGCCAGGCGCCGGAGTCACTCGTTAGTGCCTTCATTGGTTTATACTACGAACCCAGAAGAAACACTGCATCTCCAAACCTTAGTATCTTCCTCTGTGAAATGGGGACCCACATGTGCGATCCCATCTCTCTGTGAGGAGGGCTTTCAGAAAGAGCACCGGTGCCTGCTAGAATGTGTCATCTTCCTATCTCTGAATATGGTTTAGACCCAGGTCTGAATATGGAAGAGAAAGATTCAGAATGTGGGTAATAGGGGAAGATCTTTAACTGTGTGTGGCCCTGGGAAGGTCACTTTCTTCTCTAGAAAATTGATGAAACAGTACGTTCCTTCTAGGCCTGTTGTGAAAGCCAAATATGTCACACATGGACAGCGCCTGGAACTGTGTCGTTGCCACCCTTGTCTATCCCTCTTCAGGCATAGAGCAGTGGAAAAATACGACTAATTCTGTCTGTTTCTCTCCCTTTTCTGGGCAACTCCTCCTTCTTCCTGAATCCCATCCACATAAACCTACCATGAGAAAGAGAAGATAAGGATTTTGAAGATCAGGAGTGGCCCAGGAAAATGAGTGAGCAGTATCCACAGAGCTTGAGCTGGGTCACCATGAGGTTCATGAACCCTCACCCTTAAAGATGGAGTCAGGACAAGATGCCTTAGCCATAGACATGAGTCTCCAATGTCTCTCCATGTTGCTCACAGAGTTGGTCCCTGCTGCTCAGTCCATGCATAGTAGCTAAAGCCAACCAGGAACCTCTGTGTGTCTGCTGTTCCCATCTAACAAAGTAGGGGTTTTGGTGTCTCTCTGCATCCCAAGCCTCAGACCACAGTGGGAAGCAGGCAGAGAGAGTTCAGGCTGAGCTTTTGAATCAAACCACAGACACCTGCAGGCTTAACACGACCCTCCTATTGTCTCCAAGGATAGGCATAGTCCTTGGACATCTCATTCGTCCTGAAGCCACATCTGGCAGCTAGGCAACATCCGGAGCCTGTGCTCTTTCAGACATAAGCCACGCCCCTTTCAGCATCATCTCCACAATTGCCTTCCTGCCACCGTCATGTTTCTCCTCCGCTGTATCCTTGTTGGTCACTTGCAGGGTCCTGGGGAACTAAAGAGTAGGCTACAATTTAGGGACCAGTAAGACGGCTTAGCAAATAAGGGCGCTTGCTGCCAAGCCTGATGACGAGGTAGACGCATGGAGCCACGTGGTAGGAGAGAACAGACCCCCACAGTGCACGAACATACATGCACACACAGGGTGGGCTATGTCAGCTTTCTTGGCCTGAAAACAGCTCTCTGCATCCTCACCATCCACCTCCTTGTCCCAGAGATTCCATCTTAAGGGGCTCCACCTTCCACAAGACAAGAAACCATGAAGGACAGCTCAGAGAACATGCCTTTGGGATCAACAGCCAACCCTGTCTCAAGGTACCTAGGACATGTCTGCCTTACCTTTCTGGAAGCAAGAGGAAGGAGAGGGAAAATAAGGAGGAAAACAGCACAGTTCCCATCTTGGCAAATCATCCGTCCCACGCCACCCTCCCTTCTGACACTTGCCTTGTCAGACTGATGTTCTTTTCTTCGCTGACTGTGCCCTGCCTTCTCTCAACTCTACATGCGTGGACACCACTCCCATCCCACAACCACACATTCCCACTCCTCCATCAATCTTATGACTCTTCTACCTTTGCTTGGGTCTGGATGGTACCCCAGGGTACCCTGAACATTTCCTGTCAGACATGGCACCTTCACAGGCATGGCTTCTTTCCTACCTGCATTCTGCGAGAGATGCATGCGGCTTATTGCATTTTTGTGGTTTGTACAGCATAGCTGTTTGCAGGAAACACATAGTAAAGAAAGGTTGGTTCAGTCCCTGTGTTAGACTCACCCAAAAGATAGAAATCTGAGTTGCCAAGCCCCTTAACAGGGCCTACCCAGGCTCTTCCATCCTCCCTTCCTTGGCTCTCAAGTAGTCCTGTGCTCCATAATGCCACTCACAGAGCAGGGATGGAAAAGAAGTTACTCATTTGAGTATACCTCAGCCAAAGAACACTCAGCCTTCTTCTTTGGAATCCAAGCTTGCAAGCTTGTGGTCTGCTCAGATAAGGGCACAGATGGCTGGACAGTAGACAGATGGGCCAGGAGGATAGGCAGCTTGGTGGGATGGAAATAGCATGAACTAGGCATTGGGAGTCCTGGGCACAGAGCCTGTCTGCTCCCTGAGTTTGCTGCACACGTCATTCTGGGCTCTTTGGCTGGCAACAACAGAAACACTTAGTAACCCAGGCAGCAAAGAAACTTATTAGAAGCTTTGGAGCATGACACAGAAGTGATGGGTAACTTCGCTGTGACAAGGACGGACAGGGCACTCGGTGAAGGATATGTAACTCCTAACAAGAATGCAGGATTTTGTGAACTACCTGCAAACAATGATTTACACTCTGTGTGACCTGAGTTATTTCTCTGTGCCTCGTTTTCCCCCATCTGGATCTCAAAGCTAGTCTCTTTTTCTTCTACAGTTTGCTTTCTGCTGAGGAGACTTCCTGGCCCTGGCACCAGATGGCAGCGTTCCCTACCCAGACAACTTGGGAATGAAGTTTGAGGGAGCTAGGTGAGCGACCACTTGTCTATGGCCCCCGGAGGGCCCTGAGCCCTTCTACCTGTATACTCTAGTGATTCGTTTGCTTGTTTCCTTTCCTCTGCCCCTGCATGCTGAACTTGCTCATAACAGACAGGAGTGGTATTTTACCTGGCCATCCTCTCTACATTGAGAAGCTCCTAGCTAGATTCAACCTGTCCTCTCAGAGACTCCCCAAAACCACCAACTCTGAGAACCTTTGAAGTCCATCAAAGGCTCAGGAGCTGGACCGGATGCCTGGACCGCATCAGAGTGGGGGGCGGGGAAAGGTGCTTCCACATCACTGAAGCTTTGGAACAAAGTAAGCAGCAGCAGAAGCAGGCATGAGCCAGCTGTGGGGGAGCCTGGTGGGTCTGATATTCTCTTGAAATTAAGAAACAATACACGGAAGAGCACAGCCGAGAAGAATATGGAGAAGGGGTAGGATGTGGCAGAAGTTGAAAAGAACATGCAGGTTGATGAACAGAGCAACCAAGGCACAGAAGTGAGAGAGGTCCATTTGGCAAATAGCGATAAGGGATAGGATCTTGAAGAGAGAGCAGAGAGCTTTGTGCTGGCAGGAGGCTTGTAGATAGCAACAAGAAGTCCATGGTAGAGGACAAGCCTATCTGGATTGCCCCAGCTTCACACACAAGCTTCACAGTCCCCCAGCTAAGATCTCTCTGCCCGTCTCCCCCATATCACCCAGGCAGGCTCCTCCTGCCTGCCACACCAAATCTGCCACCTTCCTTTTCATAAACATGGACAAAGCCTGCACCTGTTCCAGGATGCCGGCAGCACCCACCCACCTACTCCTGGACAGAGGAACAGCACAAACAAAAATGCAGTCACCATTGTGCTTGAACAAGCCCCTGCTGGACCACCTCCAACTTGGGGCAGCTGTTTGTGGCAGCCATGAGTTCCTTGAAGTTGGGCAGGTGGTCCAGGCTGGGTCTGTGACTCGGGGTAACGTTATGCCCACAGATATAAAGGGACAGTAAAGGTGATGATGATGGTATACAGGCTACGAGAAGCTTAGGATGCTACCACTTTATCTACAGATGGGGAACAGGCCTGGGACAGGGAAGGGATGGCCCAAAGTCATAAGCTTGTGGGAATAATAGTAGCAGTGGATCAGAGTAGCACCATTCACAAAAAGCAGGACCAACGTACATGTCCATCAGCTGACAAGTGGACAAATGCAATGTAGTCTGTCCGTTCAGTGGGAAATTATTCACCCATAAAAAAATAAAATGCCGGCTGGTAATGGTTACCAGCTTGAAACCCTGAAGACATTATGCTAAGTGAAAGAAACAAGACATAGAAGCCTCCTTGTATGATTCTATTTCTATGAAATATCCAGAACTGACCATAGAAACAGGAATAAAATCAGAGGTTGCCAGGGTCTTAGGGGATGGAAGATGGAGCGTGGCTACTTAATAAGTATATGGAGTTTCCTTTGGGGAGGTAAAAACACATTGTAACTAGATAATGGTACAGACATCATAAGTGTATTCAGCACAATGATAGGTTTCATCCAGGTATGGTAGTACATACCTGCAGTCCTAGCATTCAAGAGGCAGAGGTAGGGAGACCAGGAGTTCAAGACCAACCTGGAGTTCATAATGACACTGCCTCAATAAATAAGTAAATAAATAAACAGTAGATTTTATGCTATGCAGACTTTACGGCCAGATGTCACCTGCTAAATCCCATGTCCCTTCCTTACCCCATGCTGCTGGCCCCAGCCCCTCCTGCTGCAGACCTCCCGAGCCCAAGCTGGCACTGGGAGGCACGTGCCGCCTCTCGGTGGCACACACAGCCAAGTGCAAGGTGTCCCCACCCAGGAGGTAGGGCTCATGACTTCTGGGAAAAGTTTCACCTGCTTTCCCATCCCAGTCGGTGCCCCAAGTGTAACGTTTGTACTATCCAAGTTGCCATCCCTTTGCAGGACACGGACTCTCCCCCATGCACAGACATCAGCTAAAGGAGATGCCATGGCACAATTGTGTTAGCACTGCAGCTCTTCGGTTAGAGGGGAAGGGCCCTGGCTCAGTCAACCTTACATCGCCAGGACTGCTGGTGTTCTTACTCACAGCACGTGCTCTCCAAACGCGCGCTGAAGGCACCCTAGCATCTCTGGGGCTTTCTGCGTCTAAGAGCAGCAGTGAGAAGCCATTGAGTGAGCTGTTGCCTGTTGACACAGGCGAGTTTTAGCAAATGTTGCCCAGCTGATAGAGGTGGAGGAGGAGAGGGTTGCCCACAGCAATCCAGTCCAAGCTGTTATTTATGCTCCTGGTGGGCAAAGAGAAGGGCAACACCCAGAGGCAGGGCTTCTCCGTGCAGTGAGAAGGAAGCATCTTCTTTTTTGAACTCCTGCCACAGCCTAGATACACAGCTCTGAGAAGGGATAGGGGCTGGAGTCAGAACCAAATCTTGTTCTTGCTCAGTTTTCCTCCACAGTGTTGGGGTGCTACCCTTTCTGCTTTTCTGAATATGAAATTAGTCATTTTCTAGGAAGCTTATTTATAGAGTCCACTGCACCCATGCAGCACTGAGCTATTCTGAATGTGGCTCAGGTGTGAAAGCAGGTGTGAGTCACATGTGGGTCCCCTTCCAGATACCTTGCTTACCTTTCTGCACGACACCATGGGCTTCTGTCTTGGGGTATCCTCCATCTAGGAGTGCTCTTATAGTAAAGCAAGTTCAGGATCGAGAGGCTATTTCGAACCCAATCCCCGTAGCCCCCACTTTTGCATTCGTGCTTCAGCGTCCTACTCAGTGAAATGAAAGGCCTTTGAGATCCACGATTCCTTGAGTGCTGTTGAGAAGGGTTCCAGGTGGCTTAACAAAGACCCACCCAAAAAGTGGCTCCGATGATGGGTGCTTGAGGTATCTGATGTTTTCTGAAGCACACTGTGATGACACTCGCCCATCCCACAGTTCTTTGCTCTGTTAAACATCCTTCTGTGAACCAGGCACTGGTCTGGGCTTCGAAGAAGCTAACTAAAATTAGAATAGTGGTCCTGGCCCTGCTGAGCCTACATCCCAATGTGGGCTGACCATGGTGTTGACCCAGCAATGGCAGAGATTAAAATGGACTTCCCAACTGCGCTGAGTGCTGAAAGAGTCCCAGTGAGCAGAGATGTGTGTGCTCACCAGGTGGAGAAATGTGAGTCCAGAGCACATAAAGGAAGGAGCCTGTCCAGAGCGACCAGCCAATGGCAGGAGGGACAGGAGGCAAGGATGAAGGAGAAATAATCTAGCTCGCTGCGCTGAAGGACGCTTGTCTTTGTGCTCAGTGAAATGGGATGCCGTGGAGTGTTTTTCCAAGGAAGGTTATGGGATGAATTTGAATTTTGAGGAGTTGGTTCTAGCTCCGGGCTACCCCATACTGTGTACAGGTTGGGAACTTCACAACCTATGTAAGTGATATATTTTAGCACTATGTTGGAGGGGGGGTGTTCCAAGAGCCAGCCTGGTGGGTGTCCAAGGTCATTAGGCAAAGAGTATACTTACAGACATGGATGCCTTGAAGATTTGTGTCCCTCTGTCTGATGGCCATCTAGTACCTAGAACTTGGCATTCTCAGGGGTGCTGCCAGTTACAGTGAGGGGAAAAAATGAAGCGAGACAATGCACGTTGTGAGTGGAAAATACTAGAGTGGGAAGAGTCAGCCTTACCCGGGCCTGTCTGCCCTTATCATTTAACTCTGCAATGGTCCTAAAACAGGCTGCAGGACCAATGAAAAGGCCACATTGCAGGACAGAGAGGCTGCTGACTTTCTGGAATTATTATAAGTTTGTGCTAGTGAGCTGTGTTAAAGCTTTTTCAGTTGCCAATTCTACAGTCTAAACTGGGGGCCTAGTGAGGAAATGCTGGTTTTCTCACAGTCTTGAAGGACGTGCTCTCCATCCAGAGGCTGCACAGAAAGAGCTAAGGATTTCTGAGGCCCTAGTCCTGACTACCTGCAAGCCATCTCTCAGGACATGGCCCCAGCCATGATTCAGCAACAGCAGCACAGAATCCAGACCCCTAGAATGCACAGTAAATGTTAAGGGATGACTCTGATAGCCACAGCCTGGCTTGTGTGTCCAGTTCTCATCCAGCTCACAAACTCAGGCATGAAGGGGAGCCAGAACCTTTGGGGTACTTTCATTACTGGCCATTGCCAGAGCAACGAATCCTGTGAGCCTCATGGTGTCCTGCTCTCCATATTTGTTGAGTCTGAAGACACTTCCTGGCATCTAATTGCTTTCCAGCATGCTTTTTCCAGTTCACTATGTGGAGAAAGAAAACTAGACCCCAGGGCAGTCCATTGGGTACCCTGTTAGGCTAGAAAGAAGGTTTTCTGGGGGTGGGAGGGATGGCTCAGGGGTTAAGAGCACTTGTTCTTGCAGAGAACCAGGGTTCAATTCTCAGCACCACAGAGTGACTCACAACCACCGATAACTCCAGTTCCTCTCTCTATGCACAAATGTGCACATATATTCAGCAGCAGCAGCATCATTGTCATCATCACTCTCAAAGGACGCAGGAGGCAGAACAGCACAGCAGTGGGAGCATTAGCTTGGAGTGCTCCCGTGTGCCCTCAAACCCAGCTTCACTCTGATGAGACCTTGGGCAAGTCCTATAATCTCCTAAACTTTGTGTGATGAGTCTTGTTTCATGGGGTCACAGTGAGCACTCTGTTTCAGAGTCTCTGGAAGGTGAGCCAGTCTTCTGTGGTGGTGATGGTGATGGTGGTGGTGATGGTGATGGTGATAAACAGAGGCACCTGCAAAATCCTGCCTCTCCTCTACGGCTTGCTGTTCTTTCCCTTGGGTCCCCCAGGTGAGGTGGAGATAAACAAAGTGATACTGAGGGACAGACAGCTTTCCATCCTTGCTGGAGGCTGGCACTCTTGCTCCTAGACCACCAACTTCCCCTGACAATTCCCCTCCCACTGCAGGAGTGAGAGAGAGAACCAGGCTGCTGATGACTCCGAGGGAGGAACCCTGGACATGTGCTGCAGTGAGAGGCTGTCAGGTAAGAGTGCTCAGGACTCCTAATGACCCAAAAACTCAGGTTGAGAAAGAGTGCCAGCTGACACAGAGCTGGAAGCCTGGTTGACCATCGACTTGCTGTTCCAAGGTGTCTGTGTAGATGGGGGTTTGTTTCCCGAACCCTGGGGGTCTTTCTGTCCTAGTTTCCTTCAGGGCAGCCCTGCCTCCTCTGGGGGGAAGAGCAGACAGCTGAAGATGTGCTTGGAGGTAGAGAGGAAGAGAGTAGGCCAGGAAGCCTGAAATGGCCAGAGAGCAGTTGGCCAGTCATGTGTTGGTGAAGGCCTCAGGAGTGATGGAGGAAATGCAAACCAGGTGACATGGTCCACACTGAGGGTGGCCAGGCAGCGTGCGGAGCTGCCTGTCATCCCTCAGAGAAGCCTGGCTGGGAGTCAGGTCCTGCATCTGGAGTCCAGGTGACCACAGATGCAGGAGTCTGCCTGCCTGAACCCCTGCCTGGCTGTCGCCATGGAGATGGCCAGGGCACTGCGCCCACAGGGTGGCAGCATGGTCCACCAGTTGGAGACCGCATCCCTGGCCGAGATGAACTGCATTAAAAGCGTGAAGAAGAGAGTGAACGGGGTTTTAATGGGGGTTTTATTTTCTTTGTATAGGTTTAGTTATTTTTCTCATAATAAGTGTCCAGTGTAGCTATATTACAAAATAAAGACAAGTGAAACAAATGAAGATTTGCCATATCTTTGTAGAGCTGCCCACATGTTCATATCCTCCACCCAAATGTTTGTTTTAAAAATAGCCTTTTGAATTCTAACTTTGAAGCCTCAAACCTGTGGTGCCTGAGAAACCTCATGATCATACAAGGTAAGAAGCTCTAAAAGGCACTCTCTGTGTACAACATTTAAGATCGGCATTGGAAAGCAAGCAGAGATGACTCTGAAGCAGCGACAGCATCCACTGCCCACCCCTCTCTGGCGCTCTTCCTCAGCCCGAGCCTAGGTGCAATTCTCCCTTATCCATCACGCACCAGGAACCCCTGCTTTTTCTAGTGGGAGGCGGATGCAGCTCCCAGGAGGCGTCCTGGTGGAGACCAGGGGAACAAGTTGGAAAGAAAGAACTTTCTGAAGGAATGTGAAAGCTGAGCATTTGAAGGGCCACTGTGTGCAAGGAGCAGTAGCTCCACCCTGCAGATTTTAGGGTGATGATGTAAGCCCAACAGGTAGACATGAAAGAAGAACTGGCTCACAGGAAGAAGAACCTACTTTCTGCCTCTCAGAGCAGTCCAGTCATAGCACTGATGATTCCAGAGGCAGGGAGTGAGTGTCCCATCACTGGAGGCATTCAAGTATTAGGAGACAAGCAATGGAGAGGAAATTTCCACAGTGGGTGGGAGATCTTAGTGACATCAAAGTCTTTTTCAACTATTAAACACTTCTGTGATTCAGATATGAGTCATAGAATTTGGAGATGATTCTACAGTCAGAGATTGTAGAATCTGGCCAGAAAATATCCACAGAAAGTAGGACATAATGTATAGGAGCCCAGGGAGGAGCACAGTGTGGAGGAAAGGGGCACGGGGCTTGGCATTTGAGTCTGGCTGTGCTGTTTACAGGCTGTGTGTTTATGGGCGAGTCATTTAACCTTGCTGGACCTGCCCCCGTCCGTCACCTGAAGATGGAAATAGCAGCAACATGAATATTCATCTCCACAAAGGTCCTGGGGACATAAATAGATGTGACCACTCATTCGTTGGGCAAGAAATTTGCTGAATGCCTGCTGTGTCTCAGATACTGTATCAGTGCCGGGGATACAGTGGTCAATGAAACCCTACCTTAATGAAGGTTCACAGACAAGTTCTGTGCTGGGCCAGTTCTGGAAAATGGGACAAAGCCACAGCAGAGAGGTTACAGTAAGAAGCACAATGCATTTAATTCTAACTCTCCTCCCCCAGAGCTGGCAAACAATGTGGAGTGGAAGAGGAGATTAGTCATCTCCATTGAAGCTGGCTCATCGCCTGCCTTATGCAATGCTCAGGAAGTCAGTATCATTTACTGCCCCCATCATATAGATGACAGGACCAAGGCCCAGGGAAGCCAGGCTTTCTTCTCACAGTCCCTTCATTGCTTGATGTTTGTTAAGGGAAGACTCAGTCCAGCCATTCCTGCACCAGTGGCCTCGCCACTACCCTGTTCTGCCTCCATTGTCTCCATACAGACAGTGTTGTCCGGAGATTGTGAGAGAAGGAGTGAAGGTAGGTTTGCCTAACTCCTCCTCCCAGGGAGGAGTTAGGCACTGTCACTATCACTGCACCTACATGTGACTGGCACTGCGGTAGGTTCAGGAGCTCCAATACTAACTAAACTGAGAAAGCGCCTCCCCCACAGGACCACAGCATGTCTTATGAGTGGGGCTTCAGGCCTGGAGAGATGGCTAACCTGTTAAGAACACTGGCTGCTCTTCCAGAGGGTCCAGGTCCAATTCTCAGCACCAGCATGGAAGCTCACAAATTGTCTGTGCCTCCAGTTACTGCACGGATAATGCGTGTGTGTAGTGCGCATAGACATCCATGCAAATAAGCACCCATGCACATTAGAGAAACTAAGAAGAGTGGGCCTCTAGACTTAGGTATGGCTCAGTCACTAATCCCTGAGGCAACAGCTTCGCCTTCCTGAGTCGGCCATCTAGAAAGTGTGAAGATTAGTCTGTGGGGGGCTGGAGAGATGACTCAACAGCTAAGAGCGCTGGCTGCCCTTCCAGAGGACCTGGGTTCAATCCCCAGCTCCCACTTGGAAGTTCACAGCTGTGTGTAACGTCAGTTCCAGGGTACCCAACACCCACACATGAACACACATGTAGGCAAAAGAGCAATGCCCATAGAATAAAAAAGAAAAGGAAGCATTTTAAAAGATTATTCTTTGCTGCTATACAGGCCTTGTTGGATGGCTCAGTGAATTAACAAAGAACTTAGATCAGCAACTGACACACAGTAGTGCTACACAAGCCTTCAGGGAAGGGAAGGGAAGGCAAGCAGCAAATAAGGAGCGGGGAATCCTTTGGCAGAGTGGAGACGGCTGCAGAAAAAGATGAAAGCGAAGCAGAGGGAGGTGGGAGGAAGGGGAAGGTGGTTCAGCGCAGTGGTTGTGTGGATGCCGGTGTGGAATGTATTTCCACAAAGGTGGGCCATCCAGATCCGCTGATCCAAATAGAAACCTGGACATAAAACATGAATGTATAGCGGCCAAGAGCCCTGGGATGCTGGGCCTCTGGGGTTGCCTAGAGAGGCTGTGAGCAATTGCATAGTGAAAATAATGGTACAAGGGTACAGCCCTAAGCCTCCTCCCTCCCTCCCTACTGTCCCTACTGCTGGGCAAGATACAGGCAGAGTGAGGGCCAGCCATGCCAGGATGACTCGTTCATTCCCACACAAACTTCAGAGTAGAGAGACATGACCAACACTCAGAGGCTCGGTCACCGGGACCTGAGCCTGCATCAGCGGGTCATATAGACCTCAGTTCCTGAAGTGAAGATGGCTTTAGGCATCACGAGCAGTCTGAGGAGCCCACAGCTGCCTTCAAAGCGGGTAGGCTGCTCACACCCTCCAGGGTGACTCCCACGTGTGCTCGCACACTTGTGTTGTTCTCCTCTCCCTCAGCCGCATGCTCACATACACACATGTACATGCCCACACAGTCACCCAAGCACGTGGCCTGCCTCGGGCTCACAGGGCCCTGGGGGGGGGGGGGGGCACACACACCTGCATGTCTTCTTCCCCTCGCATGCTCGGCTCACTGGGCTTGGCAGCTCCATCCGCCTTCATCCACCATATAAGCTCCCTGGCAACTGAAAGACACGTCAGTGCTCTCTTTCTCTTTAGGTCTGTCCTGGGGCTGCACCCTGATCTCAGGGATGTGCACACCCCTGGACCCTGCAGTCCCTGTCCTTTCCCTGACACGTGGGCACTCTTGGTTTCAGGGACCACGGTAGGCTTTTGGTGTAGACCTGACTGCCTCTGCTCTCCCTGCACATGCAGACTTTTTCCTCCCCTCATGCACACACTCCTTTCACCTGGCCACTCTCTCCTTTCACACTCCCCTTGCACGCTCACTTTGCTTGCTTGCTTGCCGTCATCCAAACACATCAGTACATTCAAACCTGCTCTTTGGTGTGTAGGTGTTCGCGTTTGCATGAAAGAAAACAATGCTGCTGAAGCTGGGGCCTCTGCTCCTCTGCCCCAGCCAGCATTGGTGCAGGCAGAGTCTCAAATCCAACAGTTTCCGTGGAGTAACCAGGAGCTAGACAACAATGATGCCAGTGTTGACCAGGGGCATGGGATAGAGACATCATTAAGTCCTGCTTTCAGTGTCTCCCATGGGCAGACTCATGGATAGGCTCCTGAGATTTACAGGAACTGAGGCCAGATCCCAAGTGAGGCCTCCAATGGAATACCACTTCCTGGTTGGTCTTGTACTGCAGGGGCCCTTACATGTGTGCACATGGGCCCATCACCCTGTATAAGCAATCATGGTCCACAGTTCACCCCAATCAGCATGCACCCTCCGAAAGATGCTCCTGAGGGGAAAACCTTGCAGGCATCAGGTCATGGTAAAAGGAGCTGTGAAGTCCTCATTATTAGAGTACTACCTGAGAAGAGGGCATGGACAGCAGGTAGGTGCATGGGCACCTCTCCCGGACCTTGTAAATCATTGCTCTGTGAGACTGCTGTGGACAAATGAGAGTAAGTTCAAGTCCCATGTCTAAGATTGCTCTTGAGACAGGTACTCCAGAGACCCCTACAGCTGACTAGCGTCATGATAGTGCCAGCTACCCTACGGGTTAAGTGTGTGATGTTCAGCTGCATTCAAGCAAGGTCTCAAGTGTACACTGAAGACCTAGAACTTTTCCCTTAGGTAGGGACAGAGATGACTTCTTGGGCCAGTAGCTATGAGCCTTACTTCCATCCTCAGGCTTGATAACTTGAAGGCAGCTTCAAGTTCCACCCAGCTTAGCACCAGAGACAGTGCTCTGCAC